CTAGAGCAGTAGTTCTAACCTTCCTGATGTCGCAACCCTTTCAAACAGTTCAAACATCAACCATCAAATGATTTTCGTTGCTACTTCATAATTGTCATGAATCATACTGTAAATATCTGGTATGCAGGATGTATTTTCATTTTAACAAAGTAAACGTAATGTAAGCATAGTGATTAATCACAAAACAATATGTACTTATATATTATGAGATATTTATTTCTAATGACAAATAAATGAAATTTTATCTTGAAACATGGTGTAGCAGGGTAACAGTCTTCACACGGGGTACTTGTATGTGGGCGTATCTGCACGTGGGCGGACCCGCCTGGAGACAGATAGAGGAGTGATGTCTCAGTTCCTAAGACCATCGGAAATATGTGTTTTCTGATGGTCTTAGGCGAGCCCTGTGAAAGGGTCGTTCAACCTCCAAAGGGGTAGCGACCCACAGGTTGAGAACTGCTGCTCTATGGAGAACATTGTCGTTTTAGAGCACACCGTGTACTTATAAACAGTTTCACTTTATGATCTTGACATTTGTGTTTATACTTACATAAGCAAACAGGAACTAAGAGGAGCTTGGAAAACAACCTCCGATCTATTCCAGATGTGTTTCATCCACAGCCACATGAGACTGTAAGGCTCTCTTTGATTCACAGCCTCATGATCTTGACACCTCAGTATTTTGCCTTGATCTGTACTACATCATTCAAATCTTTGATCAAGCTTCCCCAGATCATTTCAATAATTTTCTTTTTACCATCCATCTTCAAAACCTTTAACTATGAGAGGTTAGAATGTGTCAATCCATCTGGCTGCCGGCCTTCCTCTTTTTCCCTGCCCCTCTATTTTACTGAGCATAGTGTCCTTCTCCAGGGATGGGCCTCTCCTGGCGATATGTTCAAAGTATGTGAGATGAAGTCGTGCCATCCTTGCTTTTAAGGAGCACATGGACGGAACTTCTACCCTCACAGGGGTGTCTGTCCCTTTAATAGCCCATGGTAGTTGCCATCCTCTTTCTTACGCAATCTAAGTCCATCTTTTAACATCTCTTTTTCCCTGCAAAGCATAGTCCATGATTCAAAATTTTAAAAAATTAACATTCTGACATCAGGGATATTCTTGTATAATTTCTTTGAATTGTGTCAAATTTAAGAAGCATATCGTCAATACAATCTTTTGTTCAAGGCAGGCTGGGGGGCTCTCCGCTTTCACAGTTTATGGAATGCAGAAGGTGTGATGGTTAGGAATGATGTCCACTAGACACTCCTGGGTAAGGGTAGGGCAGAGCTCAGTCACTCAATGGTGTTGCAGCCTGACGACAACTCCTTGGTGTCATAAGCCTTTTGATATAAGAGACAGAAACAGAGAAGGGTCAACATTTCGTTGGTCCTTTGCCTTCTGCCAGAACTGGGTGTTGCATCTGGTTCTTCTCTCTGCCAGTACATTGTCTGCTGATCCCAGGAGCAATCAGTGGACTACCAAGGGTGGATTCATTTAGATGACCCGGACCTCTGCATTCACCAGCCTGTGCCCTCTGCTGTCTCTGCTTCATCATCCTGCCTCCTGCTCATCAGCTACAGGTATCAGAAGATGTTTGACTTGAACCAAACTGCATGTAACTGTTTCTACAATGATGAAAGCCACTTCTTGATCTAAATCTCTTTCCATATATGATACATACAAGCATCACTAGTTTTGCTCTCTAGAACACAATCTAATACAGAAGGTCATGGATATCTTTGTGTGTGTGTGTGTGTGTGTGTAAAGGAAACTCGAGGTCACTGGTCTAAGGAAACTCAGCGCTACACAGGGGCCTGCCTACATTTTTTTAAAAAAGCATAAACAAGTGGAAGCATTTTTTTTTGGTATATCTTGAAAAGGTATATATTTAGCATTAGCCAGCTGGGCTCACTTTAGATGATTCCAATTTTGTTGGCAACATCTAAAGCGTCATAGTCAGGAGCCAGTCAAACACATGCCTTCTTCTCACCGTCAGGCCTGATCAAGGGGTTGACCTTGGCTACGTCCATGTCATAGAGCTTTTTCACAGCCTGCTTGATCTGGTGTTTCTTGGCTTTGACATCCACAGTGAACACAAGTGTGTTGTTATCTTCGATCTTCTTCATGGCAGACTCTGTCGTCAAGGGGAACTTGATCATGGCATAATGGTCCAGCTTATTTCTCCAGGGGGGCGCTCTTCCGGGGGCATTTGGGCTGCCTTCTCAGTCTCAGGGTCTTGGGCCGCCGGAAGGTGGGTGATGAGCGGATCTTCTTTTTTGTGTGTGGCTGTGGACGCCTTTCAGCACGGCCTTCTTGGCTTTTAAAGCCTTGGCTTTGGCTTCCGTTTTGGGTGGGGCGGGAGCTTCCTTCTTCACCTTCGGCGCCATCTTCGTGAAAAGGGCAAGTGGAAGCATTTTTAGTTGAATGTGTATCAAAACTTCTAGATGCTTGCAAAGGACTGATGAACATGAGAACCCTAGCCTCTGTGCTACAGAGACCAGAAGGGTGGTGTGCTGCTTAGATACCACTGGGGATCTGCTCGAGAAGGGATCACAGTGTAGGTCAGAAGATCCTGGGTAGAATGGGAGAAAGATGTGAGATCAAACTCAGAATCATTAAAAAACAGAATAGACTGATTGGACTTACAGAGTCTGGTAGAACCTCTTTTAGGAGCCCTTCAATCTTACAATTGAACGCAGTTCTGGGGCTCAATTTCCAGGCAAATGATAGAGAGTTCTATACAGGGTAAAATAACAACAGGAAGGTATAAACTCATTGCAACAATCAACAATATGAGATTTTAAAAGGCAGCATTTTCCTAGGGATAGAGCTGAGAAGGCAGGACGGGAGATGGATGAAGGACAAAAGGAAATGGTAAAAACAGAGATGAAATGGAAAAGAGTGTTACTATGCTTTTCAAATTGCAAACATGTTACAAAACAAATGTAAGGAATTTCTGAATAGGAAGCCAGTTGCTCTTTAAACAGTCACCCAAATCACAATAAATAACAAAAACAACTTTCTTGAGGTTTGTAATAAAGGCAGAGAATATTTACTGAGCTAAAAGTATGGGATGCAATATATGTACACACTCCTGGTGGTGTAGTGGTTCCATGTTGAGCTGCAATCTGAAAGGTTGGTCCGAACCTAGCATCCACTCCTCAGGAGACAGAAAGACGGGCTTTCTACTCATGTAAACTCACAGGCTGGTCTTTCTCCCGTGGAGAGGTTGGTGGCTTTGGATTTCTCATCGTGGGGTTGGTTATCCACCCAGGATGGAACCACGACACCAGCAGGGCTTGCTCTCGCTCCCTTTCCCCCCTCCCCCCACCACACTGTATTTACCTACCTACCTACCTATCCACAAGAACAACAACAAAGTCATGACACAATACTTCCCATTTTCGCAATTGAGACACCTTGAGATTCCCTACACTGTCTGTTCTCTCCGCTAGCCTGTTGTTGTCTGGTGCCATCCGGTTGGTTCTAACACAGCAGTCCTATGCACAGCTGGACTAAACATTGCCCGGTCCTCTGCCATCTGGACAATTGTTTTTATCTTTGAATCCATTGTTGCAACCAGTGTGTCAATTCACCTTTTCCAGGGCCTTCCTCTTTTCCGCTGTCCTTGTATGCCAAGCAGGGTGTCCTTGCTCCAGGGACTGGTCGCTTCCGCCAATAAACATATCCAAAGTTGATGAGATTAAGTCTTGCTATTCTTGCTTCTAAGGAGCATTCTGAGTGTATTTCTTCCAAAACAGATTTGTTTTTTCTTTTGGAAGTCCATGGTACTTTCCAAATTCATCTCTAGCACCACAATTCAAATATATTGATTCTTCTTGGGTTTTCCTTATTCAATGTGCAAATTTCACCTGCATAGGAGGCAATTGAAAATGCAATTACTAGAGTTAGGCATACCTTAGTCCTTAAAGCAAAATCCTTGCTTTCCAACTCTAAAAAGTTTTGTGCAGTAGATTTACCCAATGCAATATGTCTTCTTTATCTCTGGACTGCTGCTCCCATGAGCACTGATTGTTGATCAAAGCAAGACCAAATCCTTGACAACTTCCGTTTTTTCTCCATTTATCACAATGTTGCCTATTGTTCCCCTTGTAAGGACTTGGGTCTTTAAATTGCGTTGTTCTGTAATTTGTGCATTCTGTTGGGTCACTTGTTTTTGTTTGAACAGGTAAAAATATTTATCTCTTCTGGTCAATTGCCAACTTTCCTGCCACAGATGAATAAGTGCTTCCAGTGCATGATAAGCTTGCTGAGATATTACAATTGGTGTTTCATCAATTCTTAGATCCTTTTTTTTTTTCCTGCTTAGGCTTTTAGAGCAGTTTTTCAGTGCAGAATCTATGCATTTTGAGGGGAGGGGAGTTGATATTAAATCTGTAAGGCTGGAAATGACAGGTAAAACTGCTAGTTAATTCAACATAAGCTTAATGAAGTGAATTCTAAGACATTTAGATTTTTGTATTTTGTGAGGTTTGCCCTAAGAGGCTACTTCATTCACCGTTTTCTTCTTAAAAGAAGCTATTCTGTTTAAATTTTATAGATTTATAAATATATAAAGCGAAAGACTGGTGTGGCAGTGGTTAAGTATTTCCTACTAACCTGGAGGCTACCAGTTCAAAGGCACCAGCTGCTCCATGGGAGAAAGACTTGGCCTGGGGGTCTGTAAAGATGACAGTCTTGGAAACGTAGGGCTACGGCTCTGCTCCATCTTACTGGGCCATGTGAGTCAGGATCCAATTCATCATCACTTATCCAGCCTTTCAAGTTGGCTCCTTCCTCTCAGTACTACTTTGTTTAATTTGTATTAATTTTCCTCCAAACACTCAGTACGCTTCACGCCCTTCACTCTTTTTACACTGCAGTACTCATCAACGGATTTGCATTCTGTTCCGCTGGGGGGACCTTCCCTTGCTAGTGTGAGATAAAACGTCCCTTCCAACAGGTTCATTTATCAGGGCTCGTCAGTTCCACTTCTCAAAATGAGGTTCTCCGCTCAGCTGCTGGGGCTGCTTCTGCTCTGCATCCCTGGTAAGGACTGAAGGGAGAAGAGGAGGAGGTGGGGTGGGGAGAGTCAGCTCTGGAGGCCCCAGCGTTCCCATGTCCATTCTGTCCGCATCTCAGATGCAGGTGTGACTGTTTAGGACGGGCTGTGTCAGTTTTGATCTGTGAATGGGAGGAAGACGCTTTAAGTAGAGGGATCTGTTTGTCCTCTGGTGAAGAGATTGACACAGAACGAGGGAGATGGTGTAGGAAACCTTCCGCCTCATATGTCTTTGGGTCTTTGGTGTGACTGGATATTTTTGAGGTATGAATAAAAATCACCAAAATAATCATAAAATGAAATCATAGTTTAGTTTAGAGCAAATAACAGAAGAAAAAGAATAACGAGATTACATGATGTTTGCACTTAACCTTGTACTTTTCTCTCATTACTTTAGCTTCCCGGGGAGCTATTGTGATGACTCAGACCCCAGCCTCCCTGCTCATCATCCCAGGAGAGCCGGCCACCATCTCCTGCAAGGCCAGTGAGAGTGTCGTACACGATAATGGAAATACCTACTTGCATTGGTACCAGCAGAAGCCAGGCCAGACTATTAGGTGCCTGATCTATGGTGTCTCCAAAAGGGCCCCTGGGGTGCCTGAGAGGTTCAGTGGCAGTGGGTCAGTGACAGATTTCACTCCGAAAATCAGCAAGGTGGAGGCTGAGGATGCTGCAGTGTATTACTGTCAGCAGTACAAACAACATCCTTCCACAGTGGTACAGCCCTGAACAAAAACCTCTTTGCTTGTGGTGGCCCAGCTGCCCAGATGAATGGCCCGTATGGATGAGCAGACCCCATCGATTCTCTGAGTCAGAAGAAGAGGCAGACCCTAAAAACCTCAGGGGAGTGGTTGCAGCTGAAGGATCTGGACCATGAGTGCCTTGGCCATGCCTCAAACGCTGGTAGTTTGGGGCCCCATCAATGCACCAACCTAAGCATGGCAGAGCCAACAGGGAGGATGGAGGCGGTCCCAGCGCCTCTGAGCAGCCAGATCTGACCCACAACGAGCTGACTGGGAGGGCATCTGAACCTCCCTGCCCGTGAACATTTGTCCGTTAAAATGGTCAACATGACACAGACAATTGACACAGATAAGCGGCCACACAAGTTGAATGCATGTTGGATTTGTTACTTACAACTATTATCTTTTCATCCTCTCAGCTGGTATTTTTAAAGGAAAATGTTTTAATTTTGATGCAGTCAAATTTTCAATGCTTTTACTTCTAAATGGTGCTTTTGGCATCAAATCTAAAAGTCAGTTGTCAAGTTAAGTCTATTTCTCCTATGTTCTCTATTTATATTTAAAGCTATGATCCATTTTGAGTTAATTATTATATAAAGTGTGAGGCTGAGATCAATGTTCCCACCTTGAATTACCTTTATTCCTTGATTTGAAGTTAATTGGGTGTGTTTGTGAGGGTTTATTTCTGACACAAGTGTTTATTCAACCAGGACCACATTATCTTAATTATCATAGCTCTACAGCAAATCTTACCCTTCTGACCTTATTATTTTGCTTCAAAATTGTTTTTGTCAATTCTAGATCTTTCCTTTTAAATTTTAGAGTAAATTTCCTTATGTCTTCAAAGAAACTACTTGGGATTTTTGTAGAAATTATGTTGATCATGTATATAAATTTGAGAGAGAATGTATGTATTGACTATTTAAAAAATTCTGATCCATGACATGAGAAAATGATGAGACCTTCTACTCCCTTAGAGATACACAGCCTCAGAAACCCACAGGGCCAGCGGTACTTTGCTCACAGGACTGCGAAGAGTCAGAATTCATGGATGGCTGGGCGGTTTTTGCTTTGGAATCCGTGTCACTGCAGCTGTCTCCGAGAAGTTGTCATCTTTGATTTCTTTCATCCAAGTTTTATGATTTCAACATTCAGATTTTGTGCATATTTTGTCAGATGTACACATTAGCATTTTTTTTCTCTGGAGCATTGTGAATGCAATTGTGCTTCTAATTTCAGTTTCCACATGATCGTTTATATATAAAACAGCTGAATGTGTCGTGTTGATCTTAGGGCCTGGATGTCAATTATGTATCACTGTGTTCTGGGTTCACTAGAGAAGCCAAGCCAGTGAAGTTTATACACACACACACACACACACACACACACACACACACACGTATACATATAGAAGATCATAGTTTAAAATCTGTTCACACAGTTGCAGAAGTATATGAGTCCAAATGCAGGCAGGTTACATGTTCATGGGTCATGAGTCTGGCTATTCTTATCATAGGGCCCAGTGATTTGTCTACACAGTTGTATATCTCAGTTCATAACCTTCCCATTTACTCCATCAAAAAGTATAACCCAGTATGAAGGTCATTTTTGAATAATAACAATAATATTTCCACTTTGCTAGACAGTTATAAGTTGAAATTTGAGTGCTGCTTGTAGAACTCTAAGAATCTAACCAATAGAGTTGAAAAAAGATCACCTACTGATTCATAGTGACAGATTCGTTCGTTAGAGAAGTCTACTCATTGAGATTGTCTGGGAGCAATGACATTCCAATAGAGATATAAAATCTTAGCATCTCAATCATGGCTACAATGTCCAGTAAAAGGAATGAGAGCTTCTCAGAGAACTGGCCATCAACAGGAAGTGTGGGGAAAGTATTATTTTTTGTACATCTGTACTTGGTTGGTGGAAATCAAGGGAAAGTTCAAAAAGTGGCCATGTGATTCGAATTATAGAGAAGAAGTTCCCACTTACCAAATCTGGGATAACATAAGGATAAAAAAAATGTCAAAAATGTCTGATTATGGATGAAATAGGAATCTGTGTCCACAATCAATGAATGAGTGGAAAGTTTTATGAGAAATGGGATAGTTGCATGGTTATAAAATGCCTATAAAATAAGAATTTATTACATAGAGAGAGTAATTTAAAAATCTGGAAAACTCTGCTTTCTTCAGGGGATCAAAATATCTTCCACAGCATTGAATAAGGAATAAGGTCACTTTGGTTAGAATCACCTGATGCCGCTGCATCTCTTTCGGATAGTTCCCTATGCCTTTGCCAAAAAAAAATCATGGCTCTCACTAACCATTCGATGACCGGAAACCTGATACACTAAAATAGATTTGGGTTTTGAGCATGCCAGAACTTACAGGGGGTTCACATATGTGTAGAGCCATCCTATTGTGGCATAGTTTCCTATTTTACTTTCTTGTCTTGGACTCTTTTCTGAGCTGTTATTTCTTCCCCTTCCCTCTCAGATTTTTCTTCTATGAAAATTCTGGTAGTCACATGTCTTTTTCCTCCAGACTTAGAAAGAGCTGAAGGCTGTGCACACGACCATGTGCTCATTACATTTCCTTATGTCCATGGATGCTGATCTCCTCGAGGAAAATCCTTGCATTTCTGTTTCATTTGCTCTTCTGTTTTTCTGAATGGTTTGATTTTGTAGTCGATTGACTTTACTTATTTCATGGAATAGTTACAGAATCACAAAGAAAACAAAGCAAAGACAACAACCAAAAGTAGAGAATGTTTCTATAAAACCTCCTCCCAACACGATCAATCAGGTGCCATCCGGTCAGTTCTGGCTCACAATGCCCACCGGTGTGTCAGAGTAGAACTATGATCTGTAAGGTTTTCATTGGCTATGGTCTTCAGACCTTTCCAATGAGGTGTCCCTGGTGGGGATCACATTGCTCATCTTTCAGTTACTAGGTCCACACCTTACTCATTCACACCATCTAGAAACTCCTAATTGATGAACCATTGGGGATATGTTACAATTAACTAAAGGTGATAATTGAGAGAGTAGAGTTCACACTTTGTGTTGCATAGTTCTTTGGGGTATGAACAATGCATGGTGTCATTTATCCACAATGATAGCATGATCCAGAGGATCCCTGGTGGTGCTGTGGGCTAAGCACTGATTTGCTAACCACAAGATCACCAGTTGAAACCCACCAGCCACTCCAAGTGAGAATGGCAAGGCTATCTTCTCTGGAAAGATCTACAGCCTCAGAAAACCTAGATAGAGACATTATGAGTTGGCATTACTAACTGGAAGTGGGTTTATAGTCTGATACAGAATAATTTTACCGCTCTAACAACTCCCTGCACTTAATTTTAAATTCACAACTTTGCTGTCTCTCACAAATTTAGATAAGCCATGTCTTACCTTTTCAGGTCATAATACCTTCCAATTTCCCTTTCTTTCTTGATCCAACTCTAATGCAATGGGATTTTTTTTTTCTGATAACCTCCTGTCACTGATTTCTAATATAATGTTCTTGGTTTCAGAAAGTCTACTTTAGAGGAATTGAATTTATTTAATTTTATTAAGATATCTCATAAGCAATAATATGTTCTACCTTATCAAATACTTTGAAAAGACATGTATGCATTCTGCTGTCTGGTATTGTCCTTTAAGGTCAGTGATGCCATGGTGGCTGAAAGCATCCTTCAGGTCTCCTCCATCCTCTGTGGCTACTCTGAAGGCTGGACTTTCTGCAGAGCACTTGGTTGCTCTTGGCTCTAGTTAAAGTTGGTTCACTCAATGCCATCTGGTATATGGGCTAGAGTGGAAGTCTAGGCATTTTTGTTGGCTCCAGAACTCAGGGGACTCCCAGAAGCATCCTTCCTCCAAGAAGAACGGATTTTCAATAAAGAATCTGTGGTGGAATGCATACTCTCCCTTTCTACTCAGTATCAGCACCCAGAGGAGCTCTCTAGCAGTCCCCAAACCAAGCCTTGCTGCGGCTGCTGCTGCTGCTGAGTAGATTGCCACTTATAGCAACCCTGTAAGACAGTGTCGAACTGCCCCCGAGGATTTCTAAGGCAGTAGCTCTTTATGGAGGCTGACTGCTTCATCTTTCTCCCATGAAGCAGCTGATGGGTTCAAACCACCGAACACATAGTCACAAGCCCGAAGCTTAACTCACGGTGCCAAAAAGGCTTCATATACATCAGCGAAGGAAGATATTTTTGCCAATATGTCACCGTTGTAGAGAGAAGTTCTCAGACATATCAATTGCCTAAATCCCCAGTCAGGGAAAGTCAGCGAGAACGTTTTCCACCAACCCAGAAAAAGCTACAGCGTTGTTTCCAGATGATCTTGCCCATCTTAACACAGTCTCTGGGCTGAGGGTCCGCTTGGAGGCTTTGCCATGTGACTGTAATTTCAATTCTCCTCTTGTCCCTGTGCCATATGTCCTACGTTAACAACACACTAGAGGGCACTCAAATCCAATTATTGATAAATATATTTATCCTGTTAGCATTTCCAGCCCAAGCCTTTTCTGTTTGCTTAACTCGACGTATTGATACTATAAGGAAACTTAGTTTCTCTCTCAATCTGTCTCTGTCTCTCTCATCCTGTTCATTCAATTTCTCTACACATGTTAATCTTGGTACAAATTCCGTAACAGGTTCTAATTTATCTAGGTCTCCACAATTGTTGGCAGTAGTCAGGTTACTGTTATAACAAAGGTTAAGAGTTTAGTTTGAATTCAAGGTACATCATTTCACTGAAGCTAGTAATTTTAGCATTAAACCAGAAACAAAAGAGATTGTACTTGTTAGAGGTTTATTTATAAACATTATTAACAACCATATCTTTGTTTTATTTTGTCAACGCAATCAACATATTTCTCCCCTTTGCTTTGCATTATACAGGCCCATTTCACGCAATCACACTTACTGGGTAGAAT